ACAAGCAAAAAAAAAAAACGACCTAAGCAAACAACACAGTAAACAAGCTATTAGACAGGGGAAGTCGAGAAAAATTACAAAATGTTTGCCAACCCGGTTTTCATAACTCCAGGTAGATATATATATATATTTTGACGACGACTGCCGAAATATTGCACGCCATACAGTTTTATTTGCATGGCTCCCATGATTCAGTTTTGTCGTAAGATAGTCCTAAACTTCTCTTAACAACCTCTGGGGTGTTAGTGGTATCGGGTAAGACTTTCGTACATGTAAACAGCCTCGGCACTGCCTCAAGTTTATATTCTAGATAGAGGTTCAGTTCAGTTCATTTTCATTTTGCCAAAATATAATACAATACAGGAATACATATAGGAATTGTAAGTTGGCAAGGAAGGCCAGAAGAAACCAGAAGGCTTATGAAGCCTGGGCTCCCCAGGTCTTCTTAAGAAGCTTCGGTAAATATGTATCTTTGCTAGCAATGTAACAGTATTCAGTATTCAGCCTGATTAGATGTATGGCAGCAAGAGAAAATGACGGTGAATTAAGATTACAATAGAAAATTAATAAGAAATTACCTTGAACAGTCAATGTTGCTGATGAGGTCACGACTCCAAGAATATTTTTTGCCCTACACGAGTACACTCCTCCATCCTGTGATATCACATCTCTTATCACAAGGCCGCCACGTGATTGCGTGATTCGTTTGTCGGCGGGAAGACTGGAATTTTCTTTCAGCCACGTCACCAGAGGCACTGGATTTCCTTTAACCTCACACTGCAATGAGGCTATACCAGATTTGTTTACCACCATGGACATCGCAGGTGACACAATGGAAGGAGCTGAGATGGATTCACCAGGATCGCCCTTAGGTCCTTGAGGGCCCTGATCGCCTTTAGGTCCAGGAGGCCCCTGATCTCCCTGAGCACCTCTCAGTCCTTGTGGTCCCTGGGGGCCGGCTGGTCCGTTTTTGCCTGTTGGACCAGGCCTTCCTCGTCTTCCCCTGACTCCCTTTGGACAATGCGCCATACAGGCCAGGTTACTCATCGCCAGTTTAACTTCCCTTTTTATGTCCTCCCGTCTGATGATTTCGCTGACGTTTGTTTCCTCGTTTACTTTCAAGTTTCGTTTGTGACGTATGTCTATTTCTGCAACTGAGGAACAATTTATGATCGTTCAGTGAAATAATGTTTTGATCGATTCAATTGCCCCTTCTTACAGACTAAATTATGCAGTTGCATAATTGCAAAAAGAAAAGAAAAGAGAACATTCTAACCAACGGATACTGAAATGGAATAGCCACATTTACGCCTTGTCACGCGTAGGTTTCAGCCCTTCAAAAGAGAAAGGGAAATCTTCTCGACTTGTACCAAAACAGCTGAAACTGATACGCCAGAATGTCGCTTCTGCTCCGTATTATACAATTAAAAAATAAAGGCTTAGTAACTGAATCTCATAACTATTGAGGGCGTTGTTGCGGAATGCTTGAGGTTTTGACAGAAAGGTCCATTGTGAAGCAACAGAACTCTTGGCCTGCGAGAATCAGCGAACCAGTCGTAAAGTAACAAAAGTACTCACCTTTGCCAGTGTCACTACACAGCGCGGAGGCAATCGGTTTTTTTGTCTCCTTGCCTCGTAAGTGGACATTTTCTTCTTTCTGTTGAGTCAAGACTCGAAGCATTTTTCGATGAGCGTGAAGCTCGATCTCGACGTGGATCAATGCCATGAAGCAAACAGCAAAAGAGAAAACTATTGAAGAAAGAACCAGAGTGTTGTTGACCGAACGCTTCTTCGTTTCCATTTCGACAACACAGTCTTTTAAATGTGGTGATCAGGTTCCTTAAAGGTAGTAAAAACTCCTGCAACCAGACAGTTTAAACAACCTTGTACGCAGTTCCGGCTGTTGTTGTTTAAAAGGATGTTTCTGCAGACGAGTCGCGGTGAGACGACGCTACCCTCTGACCCTGCTTCCGCCGTTTAATACTCTGGCTGTTCTCCAAGTCGCTGAGAAGGTTTTATTGACTTTTTTGTAAACATGCTTAACGTTTGTATCCAATGAAATCATGGAGAATATTGATTACATGTACGATATTTAACGTGTATCGCATAAATACACTCAACTTGAACTTGTTTTCTTTTCACCTGTCAGTGTTATCCGTACCCGGAGTCGAGTTTGCCTGGATGGGTGTAAGACCGCTCTGGGTTGAGAGAGCGACAAACATGGCATCTAGGGTAGTGTTTCCTGCGTGGTAGGCGTTCGAAAGGGAAGCGAAGCGGGAGGGGAATTTCACGCAGGCTACGATAGTGTCAACCAACAACCTGTCGTAAAACAACATGAGAAGGAATCAAGCAGGCACGCATGCAACTGAAAGGGCTTTTAATAAGCGAACTAAATGGTCTAAATAGTCGACCGTTGGACTATCTTTAACCAGCTACTGCATTCATAACATCCCCCATCTTGGAGATATCCCTTTGTTACAAAGGCTACGAGGTAAAGTCTGAACCAAACTAAAACGATAGATTGGTAGAACAATTATCTACGAAAATTACTTATAGGGCGACTGAAACACACCCTTTGTTCGCATACAGTATTCGTTAATTTTACTCCATTTTCACTGTACGTACATCAAACTTGCCCATAATTTGTTGAGGTGTTTTTAGGAAAAGGAAAAAAAAAGACATTTTAAAACGAGGGAGGGGAGGGAGTGCGCTTATTAAGGCATAATCGGCAATGGAGGAGAGGGGTGGGAACCCTTTCGAGTATCTCACTACCGGTAAGTTCATTTCTTCTCCGGGCCTTTTAAGTTACAAAAATAAATGAGAGCTGACAGTTACCATTTTGAAGTTTTTTTTATTTAAAAAGCCAGTGGAACATGATGGACCGTTTCCCATTCTGACGCAATCTACGATCTATAATCTGAGGGAAGCACACAAATATGGCAAATATGGAACTGTTTACTTACAGGGCAGTTTTCTTTGCAACAATTTGCTGCACGACCTTATCTTTTTTAACAACAATAACTTCCAAAGTATCTCAAACGTTTTAAGGAAATCTCATGCCTGGCCATAACACTTAAGCTTTCCTAATGTATGATATCCTTCTTCACCTGGGCTATCAAAGTCTGATAGTCTGATTTGTGACACAGGAAGAACAGATTTGTCCGTCAGTAGACCGCTGTCCTCTTTCCAGCCACTGTTACCATCGCGACAATTACACTTTCTACCATTTGAGCAAGAGTTTGTTACTCCGCATGCGCATGTGTTGGCTGATCCACCAGCGCCTCCCCAGTAGTTCATTTTCCTTCCATCACGTGACACCCACCAGGCAAGCGACTCCTGTACAAAGCCTACATGACTGTTGCACTCAAACTTGATAAATTGTTCACAGTTCTGTGACACTCGAGTGAGTGCTGCTAGCTGAGCGGTGCTAACTCCATTGTAAGTCACATCTTTACTGTAACAACCAGGATTAGAAAACGTGCATCCAGGAATGTTACCAACATATGTTCTACTCTCGCTGTCGTGACTTATGACTGTCACGCCAACTCCGCCCTTGTCACTCATATCACAATACACACTAAAAGGTGCCACGCCTCCTTTACCATCAGGGTCAATAATATAATTACCTGATAAACTTCTGCTTCGGCTTATTTTTATACTGCTACAGGACACGGCTTTGTGCACTTCAACAGCACACGATGCCTTAATTGTTCGTTGATAATTTTTTGCTACACATGTATACGATCCAGCATCATTTGTGGTCACCTTTGTAAGGAAAAAAGTACCGTTTGGAAAAGTAACGTGGTTTTGTGGAAGATTTTTGTTGGCCCTTTTCCAGGTAATTTCTGTGGAGCCCTGGGCTTTGCAATTTAGTATCAGGCTGTTAGACTCTAATGCGACAGCCTTTTTGGGAGGTGTGATGGTAAATTTGAGCCTTTCAATCACTGTTACTACGGCGATAGCGGAGTCCTCTCCAAGGAGATTCCTTGCAGAGCATAAGTAAGCCCCCATATCTTCTTTAGTTACACTAAATATGGTCATGTTCCCATCGATCACTGTAGTCTTTCCTCTTAGCAAGTGGCCAACAAAAGCTTTTCGCCACGATACTGTTGGCACCGGCAGACCGGTAGCTTTGCATATCAGATTCACGTTTTCTCCTTCTTCAATAATAACTGAGGAGGGCTTTTGTCGGATCAAGACCGAAACTGAAAAAAAAAAACAGAGACAAAAAAAATTGCACACCAACAAACTTTAATGCACTCACGAAGAATTTCCTCTAAGTTAACCTAGCACATTTTCGATCACTTTCAAATTCATGAGCGACTTTTTCCGTTCCGTTTAGTGTAGCCAGTGTAAAGCAACCGCACCCCTCCCCTATAGTTATTGGCTTTCAGAGCTGGATTGCATTGGTAACAAAGTCGAAGTTAGATTTGTAGTCAAAAGTGAAATCTGATGATATAAAAAGAGCACCCCGATTTCGCTTGCAACTCTGTCGACTTCGTCAGCGGAAGATGAAGAACTAGACCAACTAAAAGCGTGGAAACGAGAAGGACCACAATGAAAAATACAGTATGCCAGTGTATGCCTTTTAACCCCAACAAATTAAGATCGTGTTGTTGTAACATTGGGAATTGGTTTCTTTTTTTTTTTTTTTTCCTGCTGGGACTCATTTTCAGAAGCTCGTAACTCGACAGAGTCCAATCTCTTTCCCAGGCTTCTCTCCTAACCGCCCCTTTCGGGGTTTGTGTGAGAGAGAGTCCCTGGTTGGGTCTGGTCCAGAATCGGGAGATATACAAATAAACGATTTGGGGGAGGAGCAGATAAGTGCGAGATTTGTCTCTACTCAACGTAGCCAGGTCAGTGGAAAGTGTCGCAATGAAACTGTGTACCTGACCTTGTTTTAAAAGGTCATGTTTTTTATAACGGAAAAGTCAAGACAAAATCTCGAACGCCAAAAACAATGTACAAAATCCTCTCCTCTCCTCTCGCTTCTAATTAAGGACGGGAAGAAGAGAACCCTGGGAACGATGTTGGACGGAGTCATAATAAGTGCGAGGAGAGAGAAGAAAATCATGGTAACATCCTGAATCTTGAGATTGCCATTCCGTTGAGCTTTTAATAGAGACCTTAAGATTCGTGGATCGGACGAGAACGACTTCGAATACGAGATTTGACTAAAAGTGGTTTCGCGTATTTTCAAAAATAGACATCCCGGAAAGCTTCGTGGTACTTTTTTGCGCTAAAAAGTTGGTTCTGTTATCTTTATTGAAGGAGGTTAAGACCTCTCCCGGTTGCATAATGACCAAACTTCTAACAACTGAATTCTTGTTTCCTTCACTACGACATTCTCGCTAGAACACGTACTAGAATGATGACGGCTATCACGTTTTTCCACGAAAATGACGTTGTTTTTCGCTCGAGCACTAATTAGTATTGGGAAAATCTTGAACTCGTATAGTCGTACTTGTCTTTAGTTAGTATCTAAATGTCTCTTTGACGCCACTGACGACTCCAATGTTTGATTGACCTCTAGGTTATCATATTGAGGTATCTTACCACCGGCCGACCACAACTCTGACTAGGTTTCTAGTGAAAACTAGGGCTTAGACCTGCAACACGTACTATCATCTGTCAAGAAGAGAGATTTCTGAGTAAACCAGTGGCGGATCCAGACCTTCAGATAAGGGGGTGAAGGGGGTGGTCATACAGACCCTGAGATAAGGGGGGGGGGGGGGGGGGGTCCAAAAAATTCTTTAGTTTGGTCTAAAAACAAGGGGGGGAGCCCCCCCGGATCCGCCACCTTAAACTCAAAACCCACACCCGCCGCCAATGTCCAAGGGCAGAATTTGAGGGGAATTAATGCTTAAATTGGAGTTCCCTCCACACCCCCCCCAAACACTGGCTCTAGGTTTTAAGAAAAAAAGAGGGAATAAGCCCGCACACAGCTACAACATCTGGAAAAAAGGAAGTTTTCGAGATAAACCGGGGGGGGAACCAACCCTTAAGAAAGGGGGGGGGGGGGGGGGGTAAAACAAGCCCGGGGAAGAGGGGGGGGGGGGGTGGCGGTCTCAAAAAATTCTTCAGTTTGGTCTAAAACTAAGGAGGGGAGCTCCCCTGGATCCGCCACTGTAAACTGCAAACCTAACACCGCTGCCAATGTCCAAGGACAAATTTATGGGCGAATTAATGCTTAAAAAGAAATATATCTTAATTACAAAAGGAAGAAGTCGACTACGGAAATATTGATAGGCCATACAGTTTTTTTTTTTTCGCATTGTTCCCATGGCTCAATTTTGTCGTGTGATAATCCTACTCCGTTTCTTAACCGTTGGTGGTATCGGGTACAAGATTCGCGCGTGTAAACAACTCCAAGTGCACGTGTATATCATAGAACTTTTAAGTTCTTCGGAAGCTAGCTTCGAATATGTGCCTTTGTTAGCAATGTAACAGAATTCACCTTGTTTAGATGTATGATCATGACAGCAAGAGAAAATGACGGTGAATTAAAGCTTCAATGAAAAATTAATAAGAAATTACCTTGAACAGTCAATGTGGCTGATGAGGACACGATTCCAAGAATATTTTTTCCCCTACACGTGTACACTCCTCCATCTTGTGACGTCACATCTCTTATCATAAGGCCACCACGTGATTGCACGGTTCGTTTGTCGGCGGGAAGACTGGAATTTTCTTTCAGCCACGTGACCTGGGGCACTGGATTTCCTTTAACCTCGCACTGCAACGAGGCTATACCAGTTTCGTTTACTACCATGGACATCGGAGGTGACACAAACCAAGGAGCAGAGATGGATTGACCAGGATCGCCCTTGGGTCCTTGAGGGCCTTGATTGCCTCTAAGTCCAGGAGGCCCCTGATCTCCTTGAGGACCTCTCGGTCCACGTGGTCCCTGGGGCCCAGCTGGACCATGTTTGCCTGGGGGACCTGGCCTTCCTCGTCTTCCCCTGACTCCCTTTGGGCAATGCGCCATGCAGGCCAGGTTACTCATCGCCAGTTTAACTTCCCTTTTTATGTCCTCTCTACTAATGATCTCACTGACGTTTGATTTCTTGTTTACATTTTTGGCGTTGCGTTTGTGACGAATTTGTATTTCTGCAACTGAGGGATAATTTATGTCACTCTTATGATCTCCCAGTGAAAAAATGTTTTGGTCGGCTCAATTACCCCCTTGTAACAAACTAAATTTTGCAGTAACATAATGGCTTACAACACTGGTTCAAGACAAACTTTATCTATTTTGGACTGCATGCCATATATTTTCATGGACTAAAAAGAAAAGAAAAGAACATTCTAATCAGCAAATACTGAAATTGAATCGCCATATCATACGCTTTGTCACGGCGTTAGGTTTCAGCCCTTCAGAAGAGAAAGGGAAATCTTCTCGACCTGCATGTACCAAACTAGCTGAAAGCGAAACGCCAGAATGTCGGTTCTGATCAGTATTATTTACAATTAAAAAAATTAGTTCTTTTTAGAGTCAAAAAAATAACAGCTTAGTTTCGGAATCTAACTATTGAGGGCGTTATTGCGGAATGCTTAAAGTTCTGACAAAAAGGTCCATTATGAAGCAACAGTTCGATTTCTAAGCCTACGAGAATCGAACCAGTAAACCAAAGCACTCACCTTTACCAGTCTCACTACACAGCGCGGAGGCAATCGATTTATCGTTCACATTGCCTCGTGAGTGGATACTTTCTTCTCTCTGTTGAGTCAAGACTTGAAGAATTTTTCGATGAGCGTGAAGCTCGATCTCGACGTGAATCAATGCCACGAAGCAGGCAGCAAAAGATAAAACTATCGACGAAAACACTAGAGGGTTGTTGATCGGTCGCTTCTTCGTTTCCATTTCAACAACACAGTCAATTGTGGTTATCAGGGGACTTAATTATAAAGCCAGTCAAAACTTGTAGCCAGACAATTGACCCGAAACTAACTATTGAACGCAGTTACGGCTGTTGTAGTTTAAAAGGATGTTTTTTTTAGACGAAACGTGCCTAGGGCCCTCTCTCTGACCCTGTTTCCGGCTTTTAATACTGGCTGTCTTTCAAGTGGCTGAAGAGGTCTTTTGTGTAAACATGCTTAACCTTTTTATCCAATGAACTAAAGGAGGATAAACATTAACCATAAAGGACTGCAAAGGACCGCATGTTTCAAACGAATATGCCGAACAACGTAGGATCTATAAACAGTACAAAGACCTGATCAGCAAAAATAATAATGTAGACATATTAAATTCTGCAAGCAGAATACTGCAATGCTGTGAAAATTAACTCTGCAAGACATCAACACGACACCGAAAGAACTCAGAACAGAGCGGGATTGTAGCCACAGACAGCTGCGGTTTCGCCCTTTTTGGAGCTCGTCAGTATGGCGCAACAATCAGAGAAAACTATGACACAGGGTCCAGAGGAGTTTCGTGTGAATAAATGAATTACTTACCTTGAAAAATGTCTAGACCTGTCGCTTAGCACGATTAATTATATATTTTAGCCCAATGGGATCTTTATAAATCTACTGTAAACGATTTCTTCGCTTTATCTGACCAAGAATCAATAACCGCAAGCCATATCCTCGCTGGCGCACGGCACGTCGCCCGAAGGGTAACGAAACCGTAACGCGATTTTTTCAGAGGTTTTCGACGGGTTTTGATGTTCTAACGACAAACACATCTCCTCTGGACCCTGTGGTTGATGTCTCGCAGGGAAAATAAAAAGGGCGACACAGCTGTCTATGGCTCGAGTATGCAATTGAAAGGGCTGTTAAGCGAACTATATAAAATAGTCTAAATAGTCTACCGTTGGACTGTTAACCAGCTACTGCACTCATAACATCCCCGAATATCATCTTGAAAATATCCCTTCGTTAAAAAGACTACAAAGTAAAGTCTGAAACAAACTAAAACGATAGATTGATAGAAACAGAGCAAAAATCTGATAAACAACGAAAATTATTTAACGGAACACACTCTTTGTTCGCATTGAGTATTCGTTAGTTTTACCCCATTTTCACTTTACATCAAACGTGTCCATAATTTGTTAAGATGGGCCCACGAAAAAGAAGAAGCAAAATAAATAAGTAAATAAATAAATTAACTGATTATTTAAAATATAACGAGGGGAGGGTTTCACTTACTCAGGCATAATCGGGAATGTAGGGTAGGGTGGGGACGTTTTCTACTCTTTCACTAGCGGTAAGTTTTTTTCTTGGCCTTTAAAAGTTTCACAACCGCGGCAGGATTATTAACCGCGGCAGGATTAGCTCAGTCGGTAGAGCGCTTGACCGCAGAGCGGGAGGTCGCGGGTTCGATTCCCGGGGCCGGACCAATACTCACGGTCTTAAAATAACTGAGAAATGAAGGTACTCCCTTTGCCCTGCAGGCGGCTGAACCTTCGCGTGGCTCGGATGATCACGTAAAATGGCGGTCCCGTCTCTATTAGGGGACGCAAAATATAGTGTCCCAATTAGCACTTTCGTGCTAAATACATTAACACTCAAATAAAGTGCATAAGTGCATATTTTAGTTTAGTTTAGTTCAGTTTAGTTCATTTATCTGCCAGGAAAAATTAAGACATTCAATACATTGCATGCATAAAAAACTACGGGTTGAAGGTCTAAGGTGATGTAAATTATATTAGTAAAGTATTATAAGTATTTTTCTGGCGAGGAAGCTCAAATTTAAATCGAAGAGGCTTATTACTATCAGCTCCCTCTCTTAATTGATTAAGACTATATGTAATAAACGACAAACGAAATTATGTTGAAATATAAATATATAACTTAGAATAAAAAGCAAAGCAAAACACACTAAAAGGACAAAAAGCAGCAAAAGCAACAAACAACAAAATAAAATAAAATCTACATGTGAAGAATCAGCTGACGAGAAATGCTTTCAGTCTAGATTTTAAAAGAGAGGTAGACGTAGCACTGTGTAAATTGCGATTTAGTGTATTGAAAAAATTTGGAATCCTGAAATCTTACACCAAAATACATACAGCTGACCTTCATAATTTTGTTACTGGAACGGCTTGGAAACTAAAATTTCGAGGACTTTTTTGGGCTTTTATCATTTAGGGCATGAATTTTGCGTCATTTCAGGCCAATTTCATGCCCGGCATGGCGGGCATGCCAAACTCAATGCAACTGGCTTCACGACCGGCATGCCCGGCATGCCAAACCCAATGCATGTTACCCGTAACAATCCCAGAAACTATTGCGGGACACATTTCGGTTCCAGTCCCCTTCTCGTTACTAAAGTGGCGAATGGTAAAGTCTATTTGCCCGAAATTTCGGTTTGCAACACAAACCTTCGTCGGAGGCTAAGATTGAAAAATGAATACAGATAAAAACGTTACATATGCGAAATTTAAATATACAGCAAGCAGGAAATAATCGGCTAATGAAAAAGATAAATGTCACTAATTTATACCAGCTCATGATCAGGAGCCCATAACCCGGAGAGAGCAACTCGCATACCAGCCGTCACGACGTTTTCAAGGATCGGTTTATTTTGAGATACATTTTAAAGTTCTTTTTCCCTCGAAAACGGAAGGTTTGCCCCGTTCATGAGCGCATTATTAGGAGTATAAGGTATGACAAAGGAAAACTAAACGTCATTTTCAAGTCTTTTGGTTTTGCTGAGTGATTTGTGGGACCCAAAAGATATTCTAAATTCGCGCCAAAATCGTTCTAAAAATAAACTAAAACTAAATTATCACAGGAGCCTGATTATCACTATTTTTTTGGTGGCGGTTCTATTTCCGCTTTTATTATCAAGATATACAGTCTCAGTACACAAAAAATACATGCACTATTATTTGTCATTTTGCACATCTTCCATAATACATCTTGTTCGCCCCCCTAAAATTTGCATATTTACTCGAATAAGCATCACCCTTGCATAAGACCCACATCTGGGACAAGAAAAGTTTACAAGCGCCGCCCCCGAATAAGCGCCGCGGCAATAATATGATGAAATCCAAAGACGTCAATTCTGTTAGTCTTATACGGAAATCCAGTCAAACCCCGTTAATGGGGCCCTTCAAGGGGCCAGAGAAAGTGTCCTTATTAAGTGGGTTAAATTAAGAGAAAATCTAGGGGCTTTCTTTCCCCAGGGACAAAGCAAACTGTCCGTAAATAATGAGGTGTCCGTATATTAAGTGGGTGTACGTATTAAGCGGGGTTTGACCGTAATAATACCATAGTTTAAACAGTTCTTGTTTTGCGTCCAGCTTTCAGAGAAATAAACGCTGCCCTCAAATAAGAGCCGCATTTTACCATAGAAATATTTAATAAGCGCCGCGGCGTTTTTCGAGAGAAAAACGGTAAGCATTATTTTCAGTTTCTCTTTGGACGAGTGTAATACCCAGGAGAAATTAAAAACAAAGGCTATGCAAATTTTTTTTTGGGGGGGGGGGGGGCGGGGGGGGGGCAAAAAAGGGGTACTGTAGAAAAAGCGCAACTGGGGAATACGGGTTCCTTTACCCGGTATTCCCGCTCCTTTTACAGGAAAATCTGGTTTCCCGCCCTTTTTTCATCGCTTTCTCGAATCTCGTTTTCTATTTAAAAGACTAATTAATGCAAAGTCTAATCAAATGTAAGATGTAGATCGGCCTTGTCTATTGATTGATATTTAGAATTTATGCTCGTGATAAGGCCATTGCACAAAATAAATAGCTTTTTATTCCTAAGAATGACCAAAGAGCTTGATATGACAGCATCATAGGTCGTCCTACACGTGTGCGCACCAACATCAAAACGCTACTAGTACCTTGGAGCTTCCCGTTTCCAAGGATAAATAAGTCAAATTCATATTCGATTCAAATATGCATCTTGTGTTCTCAAGGAAAAAATATTAACGCCAATACCTCCCTTTAGCATTCTAGCAATAGTGACCTCGCGGTTTTCTCTTAGGCTATTATTCCTTGTGGTTTCCTCTAACGCCTTGAACCTTTTTAACTGCTTCTGGAATTCTCCCGTCTACAGCTCTTTATGTTCGTTGTGTAGCGAAACATTACATCGTTTTTGGATCGCTGCGTTGCTTACGGGGCCGGCTAGCCTTTTCAAGAATTTCAGTTAGTGGAGAGTGGCGCGAAGTATAGAGAGCAGAGTAAAATAGAAGGGGAAAGTGAAGAAACAGTAAGTTAGAGTGAGAGAGAAGGATTTCTTCCTCCTCTGTCCCTATACTCACACCCTCTTTTTTTCTGCTCATTTTTTTTTTTTGGCCCGTTTCCTTACCTAAACGCTGAAAAAGGTTACCTCCCGGCTTGTGCTGGAAGACTCGCCTGTGGCCGCACGAAAGAGAGAAATCAAAACTTAATGAGGAGGGGAGAGATCACTGTTTTGCCATGTTCAAACTTATACTGATGAAATGAGAAGCCCTTCAATAACTCTAAAGAGCTTTGCCAATTACGAACCAGGCATCGAGAGATAAAGAGGCCTTTATCCATTGCTTCTAGCCATTCATCTGTAACTGATAAGGATGGTTTCGCAGGAGTGGTTAGCTCCAAAACCAATTACTAGTGCTTACCGAAAGGAAGGTGATTACAAGACTTTTTCGTTAGAGTCAAAGTTTAAGAGACATGTGAGCGGCTGTCTTAGGTAAGAAGAAGGTTTGATTAAAAAGGGTCTATAATAACAAAAACCAAAAAGAATCAAAAACCACCGAAATATTCATGAAGTATACGAAAGGATTTCAATTATAAAATTAAAGGTAACCGTACAGTATGTTGTCCAGTATCCGGACGGTACCAGTATCCGGACACTTGAAACAAAAACTCAATTTTTGAGGCGCCCTTTTCAGTTCTCGGTAAACGAAGTATTTCGAATGAAAGCTGAACATTTCAGCTTTAAGATGAAAGTTTTGGCGATTTCAAAGCTTGCGAAACAGTCGCAGAAGACGCCGTTCTGTTCANTACAGTATGTTGCCCAGTATCCGGACGGTACCAGTATCCGGACACTTGAAACAAAAACTCAATTTTTGAGGCGCCCTTTTCAGTTCTCGGTAAACGAAGTATTTCGAATGAAAGCTAAACATTTCAGCTTTAAGATGAAAGTTTTGGCGATTTCAAAGCTTGCGAAACAGTCGCAGAAGACGCCGTTCTGTTCAGGTGAGTAAACTTTTCATGGCTAATATTTGCGCTGTTTACTGCGCAGTAAAATCAGTGCTGCTCAGAAAAGGTAGGGTAATGTGTGATATTTTCAAAGAAAATGTTTTATTTTTATATTGAAGATACTTAAGGAAGTCAGGTTTTCAGAAAGTTTCTTAATTCTTCCTGAAATTCGATTTGTTTGGAATAACGGAGGCCAGAAACATTCACTAAGTTTTGATGTCATGAGCCCAGTATCCGGACAGTTTTTTCTTTGCTGTACAGAATCGATGAATTAGCTGTGTACATTGTCCGGATAAGATTGATTTCATATCAGTAACTATAATTAACGCTTAGGATATATGATACAGTCGTAAAATGTAATTCTACTCAACTCCGTATGGAAATTTTCTTCACTCATTCAGAGGCGACTCGATTTCGTGTGCACGGTTTGTTTCGCGTGACTGCATTTTCTATATATAACTGAAAGCGTCTGAGTTGAACCTGGAATTCTCATACTTTTCCCGATTGTGACTGCTAGAATGGGGTTGCAACGGTCTGAAAAATGTCACAAAGGGATTGAGAGATGTGAAAGAAGGAGGAATTAGTGCTAGAAAAGCAGGCTTATTGTGGGGACTGAGCATGAAGAAATAGACAGTGCAGGTCAGACTAAATAGGAGAGTGACCTTTGACCGTCCGGTTGAGGTCCCTTCCCCAAGCTTTTTTTTAAAATAAAAAATGAAGAAAGAAAGTCGTTTGCAGATTGGCTAATTGAGCTTGCAAACTGCGGCTTCGGCATGTCCACGGATGCCTTCCTTGAATCAGTGAAAAAGTTCCTAGACAAGGAAGTAAGAATTATACCATTTTTAAAACAGCCGCTCGGTTCCCCACCATACCCCAGTCATTTGTTATGTTTTATTTCACGATGCTAGGTTATGTTTTTGGAATCGATTGCCGGACTACTTTGCAAGTGCAAGAAAAGCTTATAAGTCGCTTGCCTGTCGAAATTTATGTACAATTACGTTGTTATTGTTGTGTCCGGATACTGGGCCAGCTGTCCGGATACTGGGCAACATAGGAGCTCTGCAAAAATATTAATTTCGCGATGGAAACAAAGGCAAAAAAGTTAAACTGTCTTTCGTCATATTAAGGACTAGATAGATTTTCTCTGGGCCAAATTTCAGAGCTCTTTGCGATTAACAAAGGAAAGTTATTGAAATCTTAAACTGAAGTGTCCGGATACTGGGCAACATACTGTAACCGTCCAAGTCTTTCCGGCTACGGAAACATAAAAAGTCTTGTAATAACTTCCCTCGTTCAGTAATTTTAATTGTTAAAACAATTAATGAATGAGGCTGAGTATCTTATGGAGAATCATGGAGATCTTTCCAATAACACTAAAAAACATTACAATTAAACTTATTTGAACAAGTTAATTATTTGTTCTTGTTCGAAATACTGATTGATGACCAAACACCTTCTTGCAACTTTTCATTTTATCAGACTTTATTTTTCTAACTTCACATTTCACTTTCAAAATTGCGTTTTTGGGTTCTTTAACACATGGAACTGTTTGCTCGCAGGACATTTTCCGTTGCTACATTTAGCTGCATGACTTTTCACAACCCTAAATTATCTTAAAACATGATATCTAAAGAATTCTTATGCCAGGCCATAACACTTGAGTTTTCCTAATGTATGATATCCTTCTTCACCTGAATCATCCAGGTCCGCCAATCTGATCTGTGACACAGGCAATGCAGACTTGTCCGTCAGTAAACCACTATCTTCTTTCCACCTACCGTAACGGCCGGGACAATTACACTTTTTTCCACTTGAGCAAGAATTTGTCACTCCGCATGCGCACATGTTGGCTGATCCACCAGCTCCTCCCCAGTAGTTCATCTTCCTTCCATCACGTGACACCCACCAGGCAACCGACTCCTGTACAAAGGATACATCATTGTAGCACTCAAATTTGATAAACTGTTCACAGTTCCGTGAAATTCTAGTTAGGGCTGATAGCTGAGCTATGTTGACTCCATTGTAAGTTACATCTTTTCTGTAACACCCAGGTTTATTCCACTCACATCCAGGGATGTTACCGACATATGTTCGTCTCTCGCTGTCGTGACTTATGACTGTCACGCCAACTCCACCCTTGTCACTCATATCACAATACACACTGAACGGAGCCACGCCTCCTTTGCCATCAGGGTCAATAATATAATTACCTGAGGAACTTCCACTGCGGCCTGATTTTATACTACTACAGGACACGCGTTTGAGCACTTCAACAGTAGATGACGCAGTTATTGTCCGTTGATAATTTTTCGCTACACATGTGTAGGATCCAGCGTCATTTGTGGTCACCTTCTTGACAAACAAAGTTCCGTTTGAAAAAATGGTGTGGTTTTGAGGAGGATTTTTGTTGGCCCGTTTCCAGGTAATTTCTAGGGCTCCCTGGGCTTTGCAATTTAGAATCAGGCTGGTAGACTGGAATGCGACAACCTTAATGGGAGGGGTAATTGTAAATCTGAGCCTGTCAATCACTGTTACTACGGAGAAAGCGGATTTTTCTCCAAGGAGATTCTTTACTGTGCATACGTAAGTCCCTCTATCCTCTTTAGTTACCCTTAGTATAGTCATGTTTCCATCGATCACCGTAGTCTTTCCTCTTGGCAAGTGACCAAATGCTTTTCGCCACGTCACCGTTGGCATCGGCAGACCAGAAGCTTTGCATTCTAGGTTCACGTTTTCTCCTTCTTCAACGATCACTGAGGAAGGCTTTTGTCGGATCAAGGCCGCAACTGAAAATAACAGACACAAAAGAAAAGTGCTTGCCAACAAACGTTAATCACCCTTGAGGAATTTCCACTTAATCAATTACTTTCAAGTACTTGACCTATTTTTTTTGTGTTCGGTGTTTGATTTTTCGGCCAGTGTAAAGCAACCGCACCCTTAAGAAGTGGAGCCTATAGTTATCTTTTAGGGCTGGATTTCATTTGTGACAGAATCGAAGTTAGAGTTGTAATCAAAATTGCAATGTAATAATGTAATAGAAAGAGCGCTCCAATTTCGCTTGCAACTCCGTCGATTTCGAGATCTTGAAAACCCCAATAAAGTTATTGTTGGTGTTGTTGTTGTTGTTGTTGTAGCATTGGGAAAGGTTTCTTTTTACGTCTCTGCTTGGGACTTGTTTTCAGAAAATCCTAACTCGACGGAGTCCAACCTCCTTCCCAGGATTCTCTACTAACGGTCCCTACGGAGTCTCCAGAATCTGGAGATTACAAGTAAATGATTTGGGGGAGGGGCAGATCAGTGCGAGATTTGTCTCTACTGAACATAACCTGGTGAGTGGAAAGTGTGGCCATGAAACAGTGTGCACCTGACGGAGTCTTTCCTCTCCTCTCCACTCGCTCCGTAGGGATGCGAAAAAGAGGACACTGAGAATGAGGTTGTACGGAATCATAATACGTGCGACGAGAAATAATAAAATGGAAACATATATTCTGATTTTTGCAATCGCAATTCCGTTGGACTTACAATGACTCCGCCTACAACTCCGAGTTTTCGATTGACTTTAGGTCATAAGGTGTTCACCACCCCGACTACGACTCTGACTAGCTAAGTTGCTAAGTACTAAAAACTAGAGTTTAGACTCTCAATACATTCTATCATCTCTCAAGAAGAGAGAATCTTGTTGGCTTAGAAACTTTGTTCTTTGTTTAACTGCAAACTCGACACGGCTGCCGATATCTAAAGACAAACTTATAAAGTAAGTGCTTAAAAAGAAATATATCTTGAAGACGACTGCGGAAATATGATGCAAGCCATATAGTCTTATTTGCATTGTTCCCATGATTCAATTTTGTCGTAAGATATTCCTAAACCTCTCTGGGATGTTAGTGGTATCGGCCAAGACTTTCGTGCATATAAACAGTCTCGCCTGTATATATATCTTAGATAGAGCTTCTAAGTTAATCAGAAGCTTCGATAAATATGTATCTTTGTTAAGAATGTAACAGTATTCAGCTTGATTAGATGTATGATAGCAAGGGAAAATGACGGTGAACGCGTTACGGTGAATTAAGACTACAATGGAAAATTAATAGGAAATTACCTTGAACAGTCAATGTGGCTGATGCGGTCACGACTCCAAGAATATTTTTTGCCCTACACGAGTACACTCCTCCATCTTGTGACATCACTTCTCCTATCACAAGGCCACCACGTGATTGCATGATTCGTTTGTCCGCGGGAAGACTGGAATTTTCTTTCAACCACGTGATCTGAGGCACTGGATTTCCTTTAACCTCACACTGCAATGAGGCTATACCAGTTTCGTTCACCACCATGGACATCGGAGGTGACAAAATTGAAGGAGCTGAGATGGATTGACCAGGATCGCCCTTGGGTCCTTGAGGGCCTTGATCGCCTCTAGGTCCAGAAGGCCCCTGATCTCCTTGAGGTCCACTTGGTCCTTGTGGTCCCTGGGGGCCGGCTGGTCCGTGTTTGCCTGTTGGACCTGGCCTTCCTGCAGAAGGGGACTGAGGGAACCCTGTTACACGGTACGTCCGGTCCAATGAGTAGCGGTCAAATTGAAGGGAAAAATACAGGAGAGATGATTACTAGAGTGACTGCAAACTAAAGAACAAATGTAAAAAGGCGTTGCGTTTGTGACGATCGTGTATTTCTGCAACTAAGGGATAATTTATGCCACTCTCGTGATCTCTCAGTGAAAGAATGTTTTGGTCGATTAATTATCCCCTGTAACAAACTAAATTATGCAGTAACATAATAGACTACGAGCAGTCCCCATTTTCCCTCAGGGATAGTAGACCGAGCGAAACGCGAGCGCGCGTGAACTCTCTCTCAGCCGCGTCTCACCTTTCTCGCGTGGAGTGATTTTCACGCGCGCTCGCGTTTCGCTTGCTCTACTATCACTGACGAAAAATGGGCACTGCTCGTGGTCTAGTAACATAATAGCTTATAATACTGGTTCAAGACAAACTTTATCTATTCTGAACTGCATGCCATATATTTTCATGGACTTAAAAGAAAAGAAAAGAATATTCCAGCGAACAAATACTGAAATTGCCATATTAAATGCTTTGTCACGGCGTTAGGTTTAAGCCTTTCAGAAGAGAAAGGGAAATCTTCCCGACTTGTACAAAGCAGTTGAAACCGATACGCCAAAATATCGTTTCTGATCAGTATTACATTCAATTAAAAAATTAGTTCCTTTTTACTTTTACTAAAACATAATCTTACTATTGAGGGCGTTGTTGCGCAATGCTTAAAGTTTTGACAAAAAGGTCCATTGTGAAGCAACAGTTCGAACTCTAAGCCTGCGAGAATCGAACCACTAAACCAAAGCACTCACCTTTACCAGTGTCACTACACAGCGCGGAGGCAATCGATCCATCGTTCACAATGCCTCGTGAGTGGATACTTTCTTCTCTCTGTTGAGTCAAGACTTGAAGCATTTTCCGATGAGCGTGAAGCTCGATCTCGACGTGAATCAATGCCACGAAACAGGCAGCAAAAGATAAAACTATCGACGAAAACACTAGAGGGTTGTTGATCGGTCGCTTCTTCGTTTCCATTTCAACAACACAGTCAATTGTGGTTATCAGGGGGCTTAAAGCCAGTCATAAATTGTAGCCAGACAGCTGATGAACTGAAACTAACTCTTGAACGCAGTTACGGCTGTTGTAGTTAAAGGATGCTTTTGCAGACGAGTCGTGCTTAGGGCCCTCTTTCTGACCCTGTTTCCGGCTTTTAATACTGGCTGTCTTCCAAGTGGCTGAGCAGGCCTTTTGTGTAAACATGCTTAACCCTTTTATCCATTGAACTAAAGGAGGATATTCACTAATACTCATACGATATCTAACCTATATCACATTTATCATGCTGAACTTAAACTTTTTTGTTTCATTTGTCAGTGTTGTAACTCAGAGTCGAGTTTGCTGGGTTAGGTATTAGACCGCTCTGGGTATAGAGAGTACTAAAGTAGGGCATCTAGGATAGTCTTGCTTTCGTGGCAGGCATTCGAAAGGGAAGGAGGAAGGAAATTTCACGCAGGCTAAGACACCCTACCGTAAAACAACATCACGGAGAAGAAATCAAGCAGGCATGCGTATGCAATTGAAAGGGCTGTTAAGCGAACTATATAAAATAGTCTAAATAGTCTACCGTTGGACTGTTAACCAGCTACTGCACTCATAACATCCCTGAATATCATCTTGAAAATGTCCTTTCGTTAAAAAGACTACAAAGTAAAGTCTTAAACAAAGTAAAACGATAGATTAATAGAAACAGAGCAAAAATGTGATAAACAGGGAAAATTATTTAACGGAACACACTTTTTGTTGGCATTGAGTATTCGTTAATTTTACCCCATTTTCACTTTACATCAAACGTGTCCATAATTTGTTAAGATGGGCCCACGAAAAAGAAGAAGCAAAATAGATAAGTAAGTAAATAATTAATAAATTGGTTAATTAAAATAAAACGAGGGGAGGGAGGGGCTGCGCTTACTCAGGCATAATCGGGAATGGAGGGTAGGGTGGAGACGTTTTCTATTCTTTCACTAGCGGTAAGTTTTCTTCTTGGCCTTTAAAAGTTTCAAAATTTCGTTTAGTTTAGTTCAGTTTAGTTTACTTATCTGCCAGGAAAAATTAAGAATTCAACAAAGGCTTTGCATGCATAAAAAAATAATAGTTGAAGGTCTAAGGTGCCGGGGTAAATTTTATTAGTTAAAGTATTATAAGTATTTTTCTGGCAGGGAAGCTCAAATTTACATCGAAGAGGCTTATTACTATCAGCTCCCTCTCTTGATAAAGACTATGTAAATAAACCACAGACGAAATTATGTTGAAATATAAATATATAACTTAGAATAAAAAGCAAAGCAAAACAAACTAAAAGGACAAAAAGTAGCAAAAGCAACAAACAACAAACAAAACAAATAAAATCTACATGTGGAAAATCAGCTAACGAGAAATGCTTTCAATCTAGATTTTAAAAGAGAGGTAGACGTAGCACAGTGTATATTGCGACTTAGTGTATTGGAATCCTGAAATCTTACACCAAAATACACACAGCTGACCTTCATCATTATTTTTATCACTGGAAACGGCTTGGTAACTAAAATTTCGAGGACTTTTTTGGACTTTAATCATTTAGGGCATGAATTTTGCGTCATTTCAGGCCAATTTCATGCCCGGCATGCCGGGCATGCCAAACCCAATGCAACTGGCTTCCCGATCGGCATGCCCGGCATGCCAAACCCAATGCAACTGGCTTCACGATCGGCATGCCCGGCGTGCCAAACCAGACGAGCAGACCGGCGTGTTACCAGTAACAATCCCAGAAACAATTGCCGGACACATTTCGGTTCCAGTCCCCTTCTCGTTACTAAAGTTGCCCGAAATTTCGGTTTGCAACCTTCGACGGAGGCTAAAGATGAAAAATGAATACAGATAAAAACGTTACAAATGTAAAATTTAAATATATAGCAAGCAGAAAATAATAGGCTAATGAACAAGATAAATGTCACTAATTTATACCAGCTCATAACCTGGAGAGAGCAACTCGCATACCAGCCGTCACGACGTTTTCAAGGACTGGTTTATTTTGAGATACATTTTAAAGTTCTTTTCCCCTCGAACACGGGAGCTTTACCCCGTTCATGAGCCCATTATTAGGAGTATAAGGTATGAAAAAGGAAAACTAAACGTCATTTTCAGGTCTTTTGGTTTTTCTGAGTGGTTTGTGGGACCCCAAAAGATATTCTAACTTCGCACCAAAATCGTTCTAAAAATAAACTGTTTTGTGAAAACGCCATGACACGAGACATAGAAGTTGCTCGCTCCGTGTCATGGGCTCCTGTTTATTCCGAGGCTCAAATGTCATTACTCTGTAAACAAAGTGAGTCTCCTCACACCCTCTTTTTTTCTGCTCATTTTTGTTTGACCTGTCTCCTTTACCTAAACGCTGGAACAGGTTACCCCCCGGCTGGCTTTGGAAGACTCAATTGTGGCCGCAATCAAGCCGAGGGAAATCAAACCTTAATGAGTAGAGCAGAGATCACTGTTTTGCCATATCCAAACTCAGTATACTGATGAAATGAGAAGCCCTTCAATAAATTTAAAGAGCTTGGCCAATTAAGAAGCAGGCATCAAGATTAGCTGGTACGCTATTGCATAATTGGTACAAAGGGCTTCTGTCTGCTCGTCTGTTGATAACTGCACAGTTTCAACTAGGGGTGCGTTTTTTTGGGAAAATCCAAATCCGAATTTCCGAATCCAAAAACGTATTTTGCGGTAATTTTTTTAGGCAAATCCAAAAACGGATCATGAATCCATAAAATCCACAATTCGAGCGTTTTTTTGGGAGAGGTGGGGATTTGTTGAAAAAATTATTTTTGACAAACGGTACACAACAGATGCCGTACATTTATGACATTCTAACTGATTCAATTCACAGAACCTATGTTGCTGGCGCCCCAACTTTGAGCCATTAGTTACATATCATTCCATGTTTCTCATCTACTTACATTCGTAGGCTGTTTTTAAACCCTTACTTGTCATGGTTTTTGTACGTATGCAGTGTCTGCTTACGCCGGTTTATTTTTCAACTAATGAATAAAAATAAAAATTATCGGCTTCGGTTTTAAATTCTTATAATTTTACTATCCTAAGGTGTATTCTACTCGAGAAATTTAACGTTTGCGTTTCAAACCGAAATGTATATTGATTTCATATGTAGTTTATGTTGCTTTTCGTTATTATCTTTGCCGCGAGGATCAGTTTGTTTTTTCCTCTATTCTTCTCATAACGAGGCTGGAGCACGAGGACGTGCCCTGAAAAAAAAAAAAAAAAAAAAAAAAAAAATTTCAATTTCCCGCGAACATTGGAACAAAAATAGCGGCAATATACATGTATTGTCGGCGCTGCTAGGATTGAAACAGACGCGCCTCTAGAAGTAGGTAATAAGCCCCTCCCTCCATGTGGTAAATTAAAGACACTTGTTATGCTTATGCGGCTAACTTAAAGTACCTTTTATCTTGTATATCTCATCTAGAAATGTAATGTCGAGGTCACTGTTCTGCCGTTAGGTAGAAAGTGCTGAACTGGAGAAGCCAGTTTTGTTTTGTCTAACAGATTTTGAAATTAAAATGGATTGATAGTAGGACTTAATATTTTTTGTTCTTTTCAATATCACTTCTTCCTTAGGTTTCAAAAGTCATAGTTGCGCTAACGATTAACATAAGACAGTATTGGCTGTGTATTTTTAATTTAATTTATATATTTGGATTTTTTAATTTGTATATTTCGATTTTTTAATTTATTTCTAAGCATGTTCGATCACCGATCTGGTTTCTGGCAACAGCTAGGGGCAACTGGTCCTAAAAGCAGGCTTTCACCCCTCATGCCCAATTGTTGTTCCACAACCCCATTTCATGTAATGGTTACTGAACTTTGACTTACAAATATTTAATAAGAAATGAAACTATTTTAATTACATTTCATTAGGTTAATAATACTTGCAAAAACAGCAATATACTGAGAGCGAAGATTGCTTTGCGTTCTTTATTTATCAAGGATGTAGGTAACTAACAGATTTCATTATAGGGTCCTGGTATTAAAGAGAGCTGATTCAGGCCTGAAAAAATGTTGAATGATGTTTCAAATTTAAAGTCCCAAAAATTGACTTTTCCAAAGGAGTTCACCTATGATTTTGGTAAATCAAAAAAAATTTTCTTTATTAGATGTTCTTGAAAAAAAGGCCAGAAATAATATTGAATACTGTTGTAGATCAAAAATAAGCCTTTTTAGACTACAAATATGTCAATTTTCAAAGTACAAAAAATCAGGTTTTTCCAAAGGGGCTAACCCATTATTTTGGTCTGTACCCTTCAGGAAATATGGCGATGTTATTTGCCCCCTTCAGAAAAGAAGTTTTACAGTACTCTTCACAAGAAAAACTGTATTCTCCATGCCTGTAGTCTTGATGTAGCTCTCCCTTTATCCCTTCAAAAATTTTTTCTTGGTATTTACACCCTTAAGAAATTAAGAAATAAATCAGAAACAAACCATTTAAAAAAAATGTTTAGGAAAGCAATTTTACTTTGGTACCTTGCTCAATACTGATGAAACCCCTTCTCTTTAATAATTTACTGAGCAATTAATTTTAAAATTTTTTCCTTTGCCTTTTTACTAAAAACTACAACATGTACAAGTTTTTTGTTATACTGACGTAACTTAAAGGGGCACAATATGAGTTTATCTCGATGTTCCCCTCTCCTCCTCTTCCTATATACAATGTAATTTATAATTTCAGTGCTGTAATGTTATATTGTACGTTTTCTTTCCTTGTAAATTTTATTTGTTACTTTTTTATTTTTTTTCCACCTGATATCCAATTCTGTACTATCATCTACTAAGGTTTGGAGAAACAAATAAAATGAAAAAATGAAAATGAAATAAGAAATTGACATTTCGGACAACAACTCCCTTCAGAAGAACCTCTCTCCTATTATTGACCCCACCTCACAAGTAACCCCTTCTGAAAATCTCATCTATACAACGGAAACAAAGGCCTAACCTAACCCTGACCCTCACCCTAAAACAGCATTCTTTATAAAAAAAAAAAAGATAGACCCCGACCCCCCGACCCCGAGTTTTACTGACAGCCACAGCCCAATCATTTTTAGCGCCAAACAGGCCGCTGATTCGACAGGTGTTCTACCGCCCGTTATCGGAATCCGTCATTGTTTGTTGCAGCCTCGATATCTGGCGTATTTTATGTAGTTTTGGGTTGGTTCTTTATTGGACAGTTACACAATGTTTGCTTTTTTGTCAGTTTCGCCTATGTAGTTCCACAACGGCTACCCTGGGGACAGAAGAGAGTGGCCGATCGATAGAAAGAGGTTAGGGTTAGGGTTAGCGACAACCCTAACCCCAACCCTAACTCTAAAACAGTATTTTAAAAAGATAGATCCCGACCCCGAACTCGCGTTTTACTGACACCCCTAAAAATGTAAAGCACACGCCACGCTGACAGCGAAAAATTTGTCATACGGAGAAAAGAAAGTTTAAACAGAACGGAATGAAGTAAGATTATTGTTGTCGCCGTTCCATCACAATGTTTTCACCTTTGAGATTTCTTGCATTAATAATCTTTTTGAAAACCTTGGGTAAATTAAGGAGCAAAATGTCACGACTTTGCAAGTTTTCCTTTCCGAGCACATAATTAACCGATTTTTCCGCCTTTAAAATATATGGTTTACTCCCCCAAGACCTTTTAAAGAAATTATTTGAAATGTTTTAAATTAGCCTTACAAGTCCCAAATTCGCCCAAATGGTGTACGTGGGAAACAATCTTTGTTGGCTTGCTACATAGACACGTGCAGTAAGAAAATCCAATCACAAATTATTGTGCAAATCAAAACGGTGCTCCGCGCCATATTCAAAAATTGGTAACTTCGGTTGTGAGAGCTGGCGAAGGTTGTTCACGAAAAAGAAACGAGACTCTCTCGTTTAAACTGCCTTGCCGCCTTTCGCAGCTTCAAAAAGACGGCTAACTATGAACGAAGCAGTCTGGGATGTTAAGAAACCAGCGCACGAGGTAAATTATACTTGTCTTGTTAAATTTATAATCAGTACGGTTGAAATTTGTGTTCCGACGAGTCCAACTTAAAATTAAGTTTTTTTAGTTGTCGAATGTTCTTGTTTTAAACTAATTAGTTCCCAGAGGAGAAATAGCGGGTAGAAACGAAGCCAAATACTCACTCAGTAAAATTTATTTATTTAGGTTTTTTATTTTGAAAGCCCTGTGTATTTTCGTACATGTCGAACACGTGGCCGTCTCAAATACAAGCTTAGCTCAGTGAAGTCTTTGATAACGAAAGTAACCCAGCAATTCACAAAGTAACCCAGTAATTCACAATAAAAAACAGCAAATTTGATACATTTCTTTCCCCGGTACTATACTAGGCAACATGACAGCGAGATTTTTAATCAGAATTTCATCAGAATTTTCTATACTTGAGGACAGCCAAAAATTTTTGGATGACCGTTCTATTCATGTGCATTTTTCAAAGCTTATCTAATAAATTCCCTACAATTTTCTTAAGTTTTAATTTTTCACATTTCACAACCCAGCTCACTGCTACACTATTTTTCGAAGGAAAAAGGAAACTTAATTTATTCGAATTAAAAAATGTGATGGAGAGAGGAATAAAAAAAATTTTCACTCTTGTACTGCGCTAAATTGCATCTAAGATTTTCGGAACAACAATACTAAAGCTCTTAAAATTTCGAAAAGGCTTAAGTTCCCCTAGGATAAACGAACAGATACAAATTGTATAGCACCGCTTAGAATACATTTTAAAGGTCTAAAACTATTCTGGATAGACTCAAAAAGTGTTTTCAATGCATTGGGAGGAAACCGTCGTTAGGTGCCCCTGAATAGAAGATGTGACGGAAAGCTTCAAAGTTTGCCGAAGGTTTTTCAAAATTTTTTTACAAGAATTTGAACAAACATTTATACTTAAAAGAATAAAGACAAAGTACTTTGCACAGTAAAGTTAATTTGTGAGGATGGGAAAATGTGACTTCATTAGTTAGTACTTTGGTTGTCAGCGTTTTTAGATCGGCAATTTCAAACAACTCTTTTTGTAAACTCGCTACTTGAGTTTTAGCTTCCTCGAGTACAACTACTAAACAGCATTAGAAATTTATTGATGTCTTACTGAAATTTATTGATGTCTTTCAGAAATTATTGATTTCTTACTGTCTTACGTTGAATGAGATTGCCCTTACATTCAAACAGGGTCGTGTAAAAAACGAACCGTAGTTAAATGAGTGAATTGACGAAACAAGATATGCATACATGCAACTTACCGTTTAAAATGAATTTAAACAGTCACATACGATTTATAATTAGACAAATTGCGATATGTAAATTGATTGGAATCAATAAATGACTTTTGACTTGCCATATAAAGTTGTAAACTAGTGAGCAGTTTTCACATAAGTTAGATAATTTTCATTATATTTAGCCAGATTTTGGCCTAATTGCCATGGTAAAAACCGGTTTGTACCAACCATTTGCAATCAAACCTTTTCCCACCTCATATGATGTCACTGCATCACGCGCGATCTCTCGCGCGAATATATTGCAGCTGAGACTGGATTGTTACCATGGTGACGAACATTACAATATACGATCCTTAATACAAATGGAAAAGATTCGAAAAGATCGCCAGCACAGCCCTGTATTAGTTTGACTGAGTCTTTGCAAAGCTTTCCAGGGCATGAGAGTATTCGATTGCAACTGAATTTGAAAAATAAAGCATTTCCGTATTTTTTCTTCATTTCTCTTTGCGTATCTCTGAAGCGTTTAAAGCCTTTTCACTACTGTTACCTCAGCTTCTCACGTTTTTAATTTTCAGCCGTCAGAGCAGACCATCTTCCTCAGTCAGTCCTTCAGATTAGGCCGTGGAACCAGACCACAACGGCAGGCCATAAGATCCGCCCCAGATCAGACCGCCACCACAACAGACAATCAGATGAGTCTCATATCCGGCCACAGATCAGACCATGCACCAACTCCCACATCAGACCATCGTCAGAACAGACCTCCAGATCAGATCAGCCCACAGACTACCATCCATGACTGGTCCAGTTCAAATCAGCACAGCACACCCAACCTCGTAAATGGTACAGGTCAGGTGCATTGTTTGTGGGTTGGGTCAAGGGGGGTATATAGAGTTCTGGATGAACCTTGCAAAGCATACTTTCCACACACGTTCGGCCTGAAGTTTTCGGACATCTTTTTCGGCTTAACTTAACTGTAGTTAGATCAGTTAGCGGGCTCCCTGGGCTGGTAAGGGCCTCCCCTTCCCTTTTTCATAGGTTGGGTTCCTTTGCAGGTGTTCGGTCAGCGACATAAGTTCGGCTTTTAGGATTCGGCTTGGCTTCTAGGAAACGGTTGGACCACGTTCTTTCATCTTTTTCGGATGGACTCACAGCCTTTTTTCGTCGTCGTCGTCGTCACTGCAGTCTCCCGCTTAGTTGCGCCAAATTCAATTCATTACACTTCACTTGATAGTCATTGCGCTGGGCAAGTGAAGAATTCACTCGCAAGGTTCAACCAGACAGTTATTATTTTAAGACGAAACTTTAGTAAACTAGAGACATAAGACCATTCAGCTACTGCAGTGAGAGGACCTCATTTGGCCTCCACTTACAGGCTCAATGGTCTCTCTGGTTACAGGTAGATAGTCAGGTTAGTCTCGCAAATTCGAGTCTGCACCTACCTATACCAATTTGACTTTTCATGTCAGGTTGCCAGGGCAACATGGGACAATCCACACACCACAGGCTAGATCGTTTACAAATCGTAAGCGTAGGAAGTCTTCGAGACCAATCTACGACGCAGTTTCATCGCTGGAGGAGCACGAACAAGCCGATCAGCATTTAGCAACGTTATTAACCTGCGGAGTGATTACGAGAATGCCACTAGGCCGAATATTTCAGGGAAACACATGTGAAGGCCCACCATACCTTGATATGCGTGTCCCTGAATGGCATTCAGGTGAAAACTTCGCAGGTTATAGATAGTTTTTCAGAGGCCACAGGAATAGCAGGAGAGGATACTCTGGCGTGGCATCGTTAACATTAAGACCATTTAGTTTTTCTTCTTGTTAATTTTGCCTTGCTGGAGAGTTTTCTTCTTAGGAAGTCCTGCATTGCACTACGCAGGCACAGATCGTCTACAAATGGTAGGCGTACGTAGTCTTCAAGTCGACCGTTCGTGGGTTTTGGTTTCTTAGTCTTCATCCGAGAGTGGGCTGCAGTGTTCCCGATCTACCCCAGACAACTCTTGAAGTACTTCATGACTGGGAGTGAATCCTAAAGCAGTACGCTGTCTATTTACTTTTTTCCCTGAATATTGTAACAAGAAATAGTTGCTTTTGCAAATATAAATAAAATGCTTGTGATCGTATGCTTGATCGTATTGTGTGTGATTATATTGTGGGTCCATTGCTGCATTAAGGGAAGAGGCCGGCCGAAGAAAGAAGAACAAAGAACCTCCAGATGTACAGAAAGATAGTCCAGTTTATTAAGTAGGCGAGGTAGCTGCCTTTGCGGCGATGAATTTAGAAGAAACGCATAGGACCAAACCAGACAATGATGATGATGATGGCGATGACGATGACGACGGTTATGATGATGATGATCGTTTGAGCTAAGACGTCATTCTGCTTCTACTAAAAGTTATTTTATTTGCCGTTGCTTTAGGGCCATAATTGAACTGAAGAAAATCACGTTAAAATGTAAATTGGCTATTTTGCAAACAGAAGCCGATGACATCATAGTGAAAACGACTTCATCATTAGGAAGGCAAGGTAAAGACAGAGGAGACAGCATATAGCAATAACTTAAATAAGCTGTCTTAACTAACGTTGATATCTGTAATAAATGTCCCATATCCACTCCCCCAACCCTTTTCAATTTTTCATAAAAAAATTCTTAGTCACCGTAATTCTGAAATTAGCTGAATTTCGTCATGTCTGATACCTTGTTGCGCGGTTGTTAAACTCGCATAGTCCAATGTTAGTTAAGACAGCCACCAATATTTTATAATTAAAATCTAATTGGCCGGCCGAACTTCACCTTTGGGCAACTTCACCTCATCATGGGCCTCTACGACTTGTTCTTTTTTTCCCCAATGGCCTACGCCTTTTTTTGGAATGTGGATCTCAGTCTCCTTGGTCTTTTGGTGGAGGAACATGACAGTTTACAGCAGCCCATATAAGGTAGGGCTGATTTATGCTGGTACAAATTTTACGCAAAGCTGACTCGCTCGGTCTTAAATAGGAAAATCGGCCGCTCATTGAACTTCCTCGTAACGCTTTGTTTGAAACAAGCTAAGGTTCGTAGCTTATGTAAACTTTGCACCTCATCAATCAGTCCAAGTAATAATCCAATGTGGCACAAGGTATGTGGATTTTTTTTGTATTTTAGGCCATTAGATTTTCGGTTCGGTCCGTTCGTCTTTTTTCGGTTTTCGATTCGACTTTTGATCTGATTCCGGATTCGGCTCCAAAAACTGTGAAGGCTTGGTATAGACAAAGTTTCCATAGCAAGCCGCCAAATATCCCTGCGTACCGTCCGGGGGACCCTGGTGTGTTTCATTCGAGGTGTCAAGGTTTTATGGACGCATGTCACACTCCTCGGTCTTGCTCAGACGTGAAATTCTTAGAAGCGCACCCCATCTATATAGACTACTTCATTTCTGTAAACAGCCAACTCAATGTAATAAAAACACTTCATCTAATGTGTTGTCTTCGTGGTTTTTTCTTTTACTTTAAAGCTAAATCTTTAGGTAATTAATTATAAGTACTAATGATGATTAAATTTGCAGGGATATTACATAACACTTGATGTAATGACGGCAAAAAAAATAAAACAGAAATAAAACACTGAGTAGTGAGTGTGATGTCTTTTAACTAACCTCACTGAGTGACACCGAGTGTCGCATCAGTAAGTTCGTTATTAAAACACAAATAACTAGCACCCCATCTATATAGACTACTTCATTTCTGTAAACAGCCAACTCAATTTAATAAAAACACTTCATCTAATGTGTTGTCTTCGTGTTTTTTTCTTTTACTTTACAGCTAAATCTTTAGGTAATTAATTATAAATACTAATGATGATTTAATTTGCAGGGATATTACATAACACTTGATGTAATAACGGCAAAGAAAAAATAAAACAAAAATAAAACACTGAGTTGTGAATGTGATGTCTTTTAACTAACCTCATTGAGTGACACTGAGTGTCCCATCAGTCTGCTCGTTATTAAAACACAAATAACTAACTCATTTAATTTCAGGTGCGTCGAAAATCAATAAGTTTATCGTTTTTGGACTCCTCCGCCACTTTTTGCGAGGTTGAATGGACGCAAATTTTTTGGGCGCGCCCTCTCAAGATGACTTTTTTCCGACCATTGTACTGCGTTTTTGATGCGTTCTTGAAGAAACGCATGGCACTACCTATTTTGAAGTCGTACGTGAGGTGCTGAAGGAAGGGCAGAAACATTAATATTAAGGTTAATGTAATTGAATTGTACGTAATTAAAAGTTGATGAAAAATAAAGTTTAACAAACGAAAGGTATATAATCAGCTTGTTTGTTTATTTGGGTTTTTTTAGTTAATTAAACCAGCACTAACAAATTTAGATAAGGTACTGATTATGTTGTAACGGAGTTGCTTCTCAGAAAAAATAATAAAGTGTGACCAAGACATTGCCGTTTCATCATTGTATTTATTCTTTAAACCGATAATAAATAGTTAAAAAGTTTCATTTCAGGAACATCGTATGTCGCTTTTAAAACTTTTTTTTGCTCGAACATCGCCGCCTCAAAGACGTCTTTTTGGGCGCGCCCTCTGAAGACCGACTACAGCAAACAGAATGCATGTAACGTATACTCTCTAGAAGCTCATTTGGAAGTTCTTTCTGGCTGCGTTCCTGAAGAAACGCATGTCGATGCTGATTAAGACTGGAAAACAAGTCAAAGTTTTAAAGGTAAGACAGATCTGTGTATGCTCTAACTGTTAGATTATATCTTTGGGTTTCAGATTTAGTGCGTTCGACAGTAGCGTCTAAGATGCAAGGAAGAATGACAGAAAAGGAAAGTGAGTATAGTGCTGATACATGCACTTATCCTCGGATGATACTAAACTGAATTTATTCGTCCACACTGTAGTAGGATTCCAACCTACGACATTTCTTTATTTACTGGTGCTCCTAGTGTACCAAAGAAAGCAATTTTCAAGACTTGGAATTCCAAATGATATTCGGCTGAATTCGAATCTGTTTGATAATAGCTGACAGTAGCAAATGGAGTCTGCGATTGGTTTCCAAGTGTGCAACAAAGCCAGTGTTTTGATGTTATTTATTGATTCTGTTTTTAAGAAATATTTCATTTAGGTCGGAGACGTCCAGCAGTGATATGGCCCATCAGCAGTGACGTGCGACCAGTAAGTAGAAGAATATAGGAATCCCTTGTCTTTAAGAGGTTAAACATACCCACAAAAAGACAGGGTCTTTTAAAAAAAGAGTTTTGTAAGCAATTGTGCTCCTACTGCAGCAAAAGTCGTAACTTTGAAGGGAAATACTATTTCCCAGTCAGGGATTCCAACCCATAAACATTGCTTCATCAGTAAGCAAATCGTTACGAAGCGTTAATAAGACTCAATCGCTAGGGTGTTTGAGAGACCGAAGTTGTATACTTTCAACTGCCATGTTAAAACTGTTGCTTTGATAATCCCTTTTTAAGAAGGTTTTTGTTCAGGTCTGTGCAATTCCAGAAGTTGTTTCCAACCCGCTGTCGTAGCCCGCCCATTGACATTGGGACAGGTGACCCCAGCTACCAGATCCGAGGTAAGTAGTGGAAAGGTAATGCACTTATCCTCGGATGATTTTACCCAAGCATTCTGAAAGGAAATGAAGCCTTTGATTACCATTTCAAGCCATGAATTTGACTCTAATATTTATCGTATTCGAACCTCTATCAAGATAATTAATAAATGTCACGTTTAAATGGAATGCAAATCCATGCCAAGAGGTTACCCGAAACAGGGTTTGGATACCACTTAGGTAGACCAAAAGGCAAAGGAGCAACAACCAAGGATTAAAATGAATTAGTGACAGAATTATTCTTTAAAAACAATGGCAAACGTTTGCTTGCATTCTTAATCCATGTTTTTGAGAAACTTTATCTTTAGGTCGGAAAATTGTTGATAGAAGTCATCTAGCGGAAAAGCAACCTAGAAGACTCTCTTTGACTATCACAAAGAAAGTGATTGGAACGACCCAACTGGCAGATCATAGGTAAGTAAAGAAGAGAAAATACGAACACGTTCAACCTAACCTTGCCCCACCAAAAAATACCAGGAAAGAAAAGTGATGATAAAAGAACTCACAATGTGCATTTACTCAAGTTGTGAACTAGGTCACAACTAAGTCTACTAAAACTGCATATTGCAAAATATACAGAAAGGACCCGCAACAAGAGGAGTCTATGCTGGCTGCATGTAGCTGTTAATTGTACCCTAGAGAAAAATCGTAACTTTCATTTGAAGGCCCCTAAACACTTCTGCTCCTTCAATGGACGTCTAATCCATGAACTTTGATTAACTGTGACGTTACTTCAAACAAATACAAGGTGTTAGTGGAATTCAAACCCAGGCCTACTTAACTAAGAAGAGCGAAATATGTAATAGCCTCTTAGTCGCTGAGTAACAAATATCCCTTTGATAAGCTAAATATCTTTTTCTTGAAATCTATTTTATACAGATCCAGAAGATTTCAGATGTCGCACCTCGTCTGGCCTGCAGTGAGTGGCTCGAAAATATCGTGAAGGAGCTGCCTTGCATAACTCGACAGAGGCAAGTAAAATCTTTCTCCATCTAATTTGCAAAGAATAGAATTAAAGAAATTCGGTTGGCGGCATCCAAACCGTGCGGGAATTTTAAGTTTTGTATGGAATTAACTGGACTAAACATGCTAAAACTGCAATAATCAAGGAGTAAAAGTGCTTCACTAAACCTTTATTCTGTCCGAAGTTTCACTAAATTTGCTTGCCGCCAAGTTTTTTTTCTAGCGAGATTTAGGGGCAGTCTGATGAGGCAACGTCGGTGAGTAGAAGGTTAGGTTATGATGATTATTGTACATTGTACTCATTACCTGTCTTCTCATTGGCTACTAGGTGCCTACAACTAATTTTGGAAATCAATGCAACCTACAGATTAGTTAGTTATCTGTTAGTAGATAACTGCCGTAATCTGTAGATTGCGCCACTAACAATAGCAATTCAGGTTCCTTGCGTCGGGTGTGATTGTCGTCATTCTCTTCAAAACAACGTACAATGAAACAATTATGAAATTCGGTTTTGTAATATCCTAAATAATCAAGGTCTCGATGAGTGTTATCAGCCTCAGCCTTCTGCTGGGCTGATAACACTTACCTCGACCTTGATAATTCCGGATATCACTAAAACCTCATTCAGTAATTGCTAATTATCTTGTTGATTGCAATGATGATGATGAGGACGACCACGATAATGGTAATAATGACGTCAAATTACGACAATGATGGAGATGCCATGTCTTTATTCAACAGGGGAAATTATCCATTGAAACTTTAGTAACTTAGACAACGTCCAAATGCAGTTATTTTAACTAAAACGATAGAACTGTAATTGACACAACAGCAAAGACAAAAGACCTGAGTTCTCCAGATACTTCAGATGGTCTAGATGTTCTTCTCGGAGGATTTTAAGGCCAGTAGGGATAACATTTGAAATATTGATTAAAATGTGGCTGGACTTATTGGAATCACAAAAGTAAAGAAACGAAAAAGGTCAAAAGAGGAAATAAATTTAGGAAAATGGAGCAGAAATGAATTTAAAATGACATGAATAAAAGAAAATTAAAAAACAAGTAGATAAATAGTGATAAAATAATAAATAATAAAATGTCCTATAATAATGAAACTAAATATAAATTCAAATGAATAAAAATAGAGATATTAATAATGATCACAATAATGATTATAATAATAGAAAAGGGTTATTTAACAAGCAGCTGCAACAACAAAAAAACTAGACTGATTTTTGACAACGTAACTAAGCAGTTACGTTTCAACAACAAAACAACTGCAACAACAAAAAAACTAGACTGATTTTTGACAACGTAACTAAGCAGTTACGTTTCAAAAACTCAGCTAGAAGTATTAACGCTTTCCCTTTCCTATTACAATCATTATATACGATCATTATTATTATTATTTGAATATATTTTATGAATTCTATTTATTAAGTATTATTTTAAAGTTAGTTCATTTTTGTTATATTCTTTAAATTTATTTGTTTATTTATTATTTACTATTATTTTAAATTAAGTTCATTATTGTTACATTTTTTAAAGTTATTTACTTTTTTGACCTTTTTTTCTCTTTGTTCTTTTGCGAGCAAGTCATTATTTTCAAGATTTATCCCTATTGACCTGATTATTTTTAAGTTTTAAACAATTGTATCAAATTTCCAACTATGCTGCAATCACACGATATAAACAAAACCTGACTATCGGAAATATCTGGAAACGCAATATAGCTTTTGTCTTTGCTGTTTTGTTATTATAGCTGATTAAACGCGAGGACTCAAGGAAGGAGTGAAGGGGGAGAGGGGGGTGGTTAAGCTTTGATAATAAGTTCAGTTAAACGTGTGGTCTTCACTTCGTCTTGAGAGATTTAGGAGCATGGACATGGACAAGCTAAGCAGCCTGACGTGGCATTGCTATGTGCTGCCTATTACATGGATGATGACGAGGACGACAATGTTGATGATGATGATGCTGACAATGATGAAGATTGTGATGATGATGATGCTGATGTGCTGAGAGAGAGGATGATGAAGATGAAGATGATGACAAAGACTGCTGAGGATGTTAACGATGATATTGATGACCCTAACAATGACGATGACTCTGACGACGATGATGACCATAGTAATGTTGATGATTACGATGATGATGACATGGCGAATGCTGACGATTATTTTCATGACGTTGACGATGATGCTGATGATGCAACCAAAGATGATGATGATGATGATTATGATGATGCTGCTGATGATGATAATAATGATGATGATGATGATAGTGATGCTGACAATGACGGATGCTGACGATTTAGTTGATGACGCTAACGATGTATCTCGATGTATATCGAGATAAAACAACTTTTGCTAGCAAAACGCGATTCAGCCGCCATTATTTTTGTTTTCAAAGCCGGCGCTTTTCGCCACCAGTGGACTTTAACATACAGCCTAGTAGTAGCTCAACCAATCAGAACGCGCATTCATAATGACCACTAGTTGGATTTTACTAAAACAAAACCACGAAAATACTCTGCGGCTATAGTAAAATAAACCTGGGAGATTCTTATTTAAAAATTGACAAAAAAGGTGATTCCAAATTGTTTTGTTCCAACAGCACCCATGAGGAAAAGAGTGCAATTTAAGAGTCCATATTTCGTATTGGAGGAAGATTGTGGATGTACTTGCACGACTCTACCACCCTATGTGGAGGAGAAAGCAAGCAAAGATGAACTTTAAACTACGATAGACTATAATATTTACTTAAGGCAGTCCCTTGCAGTTTCGCCAGCAAACACTGATCGTTGAAGAAAACGAACTCAGCCAATTCTATAAGGTTTAAACTAGACAAATTGTTCTTCTACTAAGCTTTTATCCCATATATTTTACTTTGTAAACCGGCCATCGGTTCTAAACTGCAGCGAGTTTGAACTTGGGCCTATGCTCTGAGGAAGAAGTAGTAACATCATTCCCGGTCGATGAATCATGACGGTTTAACGCGCGGTCTGTACCAGGGCGGATAAAGGTTGGGCGGTGAAACGAGCGCGTCCGAGCAAAAAGGTGTGATGCAGTGGACTGGGACTCTGCTTAGAAATGTCGCTTGTTTTCGACTTCGGTCAGGTAATCAAGGAGTAAAAGTGCTTCACTAAACCTTTATTCTGTCCGAAGTTTCACTAAATTTGCTTGCCGCCAAGTTTTTTTTCTAGCGAGATTTAGGGGCAGTCTGATGAGGCAACGTCGGTGAGTAGAAGGTTAGGTTATGATGATTATTGTACATTGTACTCATTACCTGTCTTCTCATTGGCTACTAGGTGCCTACAACTAATTTTGGAAATCAATGCAACCTACAGATTAGTTAGTTATCTGTTAGTAGATAACTGCCGTAATCTGTAGATTGCGCCACTAACAATAGCAATTCAGGTTCCTTGCGTCGGGTGTGATTGTCGTCATTCTCTTCAAAACAACGTACAATGAAACAATTATGAAATTCGGTTTTGTAATATCCTAAATAATCAAGGTCTCGATGAGTGTTATCAGCCTCAGCCTTCTGCTGGGCTGATAACACTTACCTCGACCTTGATAATTCCGGATATCACTAAAACCTCATTCAGTAATTGCTAATTATCTTGTTGATTGCAATGATGATGATGAGGACGACCACGATAATGGTAATAATGACGTCAAATTACGACAATGATGGAGATGCCATGTCTTTATTCAACAGGGGAAATTATCCATTGAAACTTTAGTAACTTAGACAACGTCCAAATGCAGTTATTTTAACTAAAACGATAGAACTGTAATTGACACAACAGCAAAGACAAAAGACCTGAGTTCTCCAGATACTTCAGATGGTCTAGATGTTCTTCTCGGAGGATTTTAAGGCCAGTAGGGATAACATTTGAAATATTGATTAAAATGTGGCTGGACTTATTGGAATCACAAAAGTAAAGAAACGAAAAAGGTCAAAAGAGGAAATAAATTTAGGAAAATGGAGCAGAAATGAATTTAAAATGACATGAATAAAAGAAAATTAAAAAACAAGTAGATAAATAGTGATAAAATAATAAATAATAAAATGTCCTATAATAATGAAACTAAATATAAATTCAAATGAATAAAAATAGAGATATTAATAATGATCACAATAATGATTATAATAATAGAAAAGGGTTATTTAACAAGCAGCTGCAACAACAAAAAAACTAGACTGATTTTTGACAACGTAACTAAGCAGTTACGTTTCAACAACAAAACAACTGCAACAACAAAAAAACTAGACTGATTTTTGACAACGTAACTAAGCAGTTACGTTTCAAAAACTCAGCTAGAAGTATTAACGCTTTCCCTTTCCTATTACAATCATTATATACGATCATT